AGTCCAAGTTCGCATTTTCGTTTGGTTTATGATGTTTAGGGTTTCTGGGACTCGTCCTAGACTTCACTCCACGTGAATCGTTATTTTTTTATGTATGTCGTGGGAGTAATTTTTTGTATGTAGAGATTTATGTCTGGTTAAAGTTGGTAAAAATTGCTATAAGGACGAGTGCTTTGCATTTGGTATGCTATGATATTGATGCGTGTGGGTGATGTTCTTCATTTATTTAAAAATGCTATCTTTTAGGTTTTTACACAGCTTTTTTTGCTTGTTGAGAGCTGTCTTTTAGGATCTTTAACATCTATTTAGCTGGTTGATTGTTTACTCATGCCTTATTTTTACTTAATGTTTGTAATCAAATGTTCAGATATGGGGGAGGGAGATTCTGCGACTGAAGTTGCAGAGACAGTGGCTAATGGGACTGTCTCTCAGGATACAGCAGTGAAAGATGTGAGTGAGAAAAAGGAGGAAAAGGTAGAAAATGAGAAAAGGGAAGAAAAAGAGGAAAAAGAGGAAAAGGAGGGTATTGAAAAGATGGATGAAGATGTAAAAGATGATGAGAAAGGTAAAACTAAAGAAGCTGATGCTGACAAGAAAGATACTGAGGTAACCAAAGATGAGAAAAAAGAAGAAGAGGAGGTAAAAGATAACAAGAAAGAAGAGGAAGATAAAGATAAAGAGAAAGAAAATGAAGAACCCAAGAGTGAACCCATGGAAGTTGACAATAAAGAAACTCCAGATGAGAAGCCTGAGAATAAGAACACAGAAGTTGCTGATACAAAAGATGTAGAGGAAAAAAAGGAAGAGATTACAGAAGAGAAGGTATCAAAGACATTTTCAAGAAAGAAAGGTGGCGGAGAAAAGAACAATAGTGAGACAAAGGAATCAGGAGGAGAGAAAAAAGGGAAGGAAAAAAAGAAGGAACCGACACCCACAACTCCTGTTGCTCTTATAAGTGAGCGACCTGTACGTGAAAGGAAATCTGTAGAGAGGTTGGTTGCTGTCATTGACAAAGATACTACCAGGGAATTTCACATTGCAAAGGTTGTCTTTCTAAATTTACAACTTTTAAACTCTTCATGTTGTTCGCGTCTTTAATGACTCAAGTGATTCTTGCTATTTTAACTGATCCTTTATTTCTTATTGTTATTATGGCATACAGGGACGTGGTGTCGCACTGAAAGAGATTCCAAATGGTAAAAGTCTTTTAACTTCCTTATTTGACTTATGATTGAAGATTCTTTTGATCTTTAACTTATATAATACGTGCAAACTACACTTATATCTTAAGGTCGAATACTATTTGGTAGATAAATAAATGCGTAGTAAAGCTTATTTTGACATGATTTAGTTCCTTATTAGGGCTTCAGTTACAACTTACAACCCATGTGGTAGAGACTAGAGAGGGAAGTCATCTTTTATCTTGACCTACTTTTGCAAACTTTTGGATTATCATACTATGGACAAGTGATAAACATGTATTTGCTTACCGATTGTCCCCAAAATGTAGCATTTCCTTTTTGGGAATGTTTAACTTTTTTTCCCCTTGGTAATCATTACATGTAAAGAAACTCCGATTTGTTCCAAGGTTTCTTTCTTTTGTCAGTCATCATGACTACTAACAAAATGTCAAAAACGCCCTTTAATGTTGTATGCTCATTATTCGCAAGTTCTTATTGATTGTAATAATGTTTCTTTTTAAGGACATGTTCGCCTTTAAAAACATTATGCCAGTAGAGATCAAATGTGTTTCCACATATGCATAGTTTTCATCAGTACATATTATATATAGAATGGAAAATCAATAAATATAAAGGTTATATGGTAGACCTTTGAGGAAGTGCTTCCATTGTGTTGATGTCTAAAATCTTTATCATTTTTTTTTCAGTTGCATACAAATTATCAAAAAGGAAAGCAGGTGATGACACACTCAAAGTGCTCCATACCATATTATTTGGAAGGAGAGGAAAGGTAATTTAACTTCAACTCATGAATGTCTACAAATCCATTTAACTTTCCATAAGTGCTATTATCTATTATATCCTCTTCAAAAGACTAGTTTTTTTTAGGGTTTAGGATGAAATCCACTACCCACTTATTCATTGTGTCTACATTCAGTCGGTTTTTTTACATATAGGGTCCCTAAATTTTTTTAAATTTGTATCATATACACCATTATGACTGGCTATAGCAGATAGTTGATTATCAATACGTAATATTATTATTAATATATACTATTTTTGTATACTTACGAAATTGTATCGATTGTATCTTTTCATCTATCAGGTCAAGGGTAAATATAGTAAACAATAATATACCTTTATAGTTTATAGCATTTAATGCTGTTTCCTCTTATTACAGTATTGTGCCTTAATAAAAGACCCTAATGTAGATGTGAAGTTTGAAGTCTGAATAAGATTTTATTATCAAAATGTTTAACTATTATCAATCTGTAGTTTGATACAAGTACAAAGACTGTATAACAGAAGAAAAATTCTCTATAAATGATAAAGTCATATATAAAGTAATCATAAAGTTATATCGTGCAAATTATAATAAGATAAATGAAATATGTAATAAGTTAAAGTCGGACATCATATGTTGCATTTATAGTCATTTAGTGTGAAGTGTAATTTGATTTTTTTTATTTTTATTTCTGTTTATTTTTTTAAAAGTGGATTCTTTGTTTGACTTGCAGGCTATTCAGGTCAAGATGAATATCTTGCGGTTTTCTGGCTTCGTCTGGCAAGAGAGTGATGTAATATATACATTTCATTAATAAAATATCATATCATCTTATGATTAAAAGATCATAACGCATAATAAATAGTAATCAAATATATTTATTATCAATATCATTTCAGGAAAAGCAAAAACTGAAAGTGAAAGAAAAGCTTGACAAGTATAATAAAGAGAAGCTGTTGGAATTTTGCGATCTGTTTGACATGCCCATTGGCAAGACTTCTGCAAAGAAGGTTTGTTTTGGTTTTCTTATCATTCTTTCACATTTAAAAAAAAAAAAAATATTTTAATTGAAAATTATGTCTGTCTGCAAACAGGAAGATGTTGTCATAAAGCTGATAGATTTTATGTTGAAGCCTCATGTCACAAACAGTGAGTTGCTTTCAGAGAAAGAACAGGTATTTATTTATTTCAGTTGAAGTTTTTACTTTTTTAATATTATTTTTTTACTGTTACAACTTACCTCATGTTATTCAGTCAAGCAAGGGTAAAAAGCGTCCAACAAGCAGCAAGAAAAGCACATCACCTTCAAAAAGTTCATCTAAGGTATAATATATATCATAATTAAAGTATTTCTTCTTGTTAATTTATGTCTTAATTTATCAAACCTTATAAACGTATTTTTGTTTATGCAGAAGCAGAAAACTAAAAGTACTTCTGAAGATGATGAGAAGAAGAATTCAGACACAGATGAATCTGAAGAGGATGAAGATAATGAAGAACATGAAAATACAAACGGTGATCCAGACAAGTCTGAAGATGAGAAATCTGAAGATAATACTGCAAGTGAAGAAGAAGAAGAAGATGTGTCTGAACCAGATTCTGAAGAGGAAAACAAGAAACGCAAACGAAGTTCAAAGAAATCATCTTCTTCAAAAAAAGAAGCTAAATCTTCTTCAAAAAAGACTACCCCAACTCAAAATAAGACCCCAGCTAAATCATCTACAAGTGCTTCAAAAGCTAAGGAAAAAGAACAAACTGATTCAGGTCCCAAGACTTTCTCAAGGAAGAAGAAGAAAGATGTAGTTGAAGAGAAGGTTGTTGCCCCAAAGAAAGCTGCCCCTAAAGAGAAAACTGGTAAAAACTTTTTTTAATCTTTTTCTATTATTACCATAGTTTTAAGAAAATAAATTCTGATTTTTTTTTTTAAATGTTTGTGTCTACCTATTTAACAAAAGTGAAAAAGACTACGAAAGAGAAGGAGAAACCTAAAGCTGAAAAGAAGATAACTGATGACGAACTCAGAACTGCAATATGCGAGATCCTTAAAGAAGTCGACTTCAATACAGTGAGTGTCTTTCACCAATAAATAATTTATAATTTTTGCAATAAAACATGATTTTGTCACATAAATAATGAAATTTCTTTTTATTTTTATTTACAGGCAACATTTACCGATATTCTCAAGCAGCTTGGTAAGCATTTCATTTCTAGTTTTTTATTCATTCCATCATCATCATACCAAACAGACAGACGCTAATAACTTATTTTATATTTGGGGGTAATCAGCAAAGCGATTCAGTACAGATTTGACATCAAGAAAGGCGTCGATAAAGTTTATGATTCAGGAGGAGCTGACAAAGCTAGCTGATGAGGCAGATGAAGAGGATAAAGAGGAGCCTGAAAAGACCACTACTGGAAAACAAGAATCTGTGGAAAAAGGTGTCAAGGCCTAATCTGAATGCTTTTGCTTAGGAGGCAAAACAAAAAACATGTAAGTTAGGTGGTGGGCAGTGAAGTTTCTGGGAACACTGTAGAGAGAGACAGAGGTAGAAGAGTAGGTGATGGATGGATTGGATGGATGATAGGAGAGTATAAATTAATTATAGGGTAAATTTGTCTGTTGTCTTTTCAGGATCATAGATCTTTGATAATTTGGCTTTTGCCCATTCATGGTTTGCTTGATATATTCAGACTCATGTTTGCTGATGGTTTGTGTTTGTGTTTTTCTCAACATTTGTTTTCCATGCAGGGATTTGCCGGTGATGATATTATCATGTTCATGTTCAATGACTTTTACTTGTTCAGTGAGCAAAATTTTGTTCACCAAAATTTATTTTGCTATACAAAGATGATCATATTACACTAGTTTTAATACCAAAAATATCCGATATATATATATATATATATATCAACCCGAGATTTTGACATTCAAGAAATCCACGGATGATCCCAATGCTTCAACCTTAAAATCCTGAGATATCCGGTTAATTTCAAATCCTTTTCGTTTTGGTAACTAACTTCATAATCTCCATGAATCAACGAAGTCTCATAGAAACAACTGCACCAAAAAATTCTTTAATAATCTTGTCCACCACATCGCCTGTAGCCAAGTTCCTGAAATCATTATCTGTTAAACACATTCTGTAGCATCCTTCTGGACTCCATGCAGACCACAAAACTATCCCATTCACTGCCGGATGTGTGTGAGCTTCTCTCAACACTTGTTCCAATAACCCCCCCTGAAATTAATCAAGTATTCAAATTTATGTTTTCAAAGTTCAAAACACTTACATATATATAATACCTGAGTAGGGCCAGGTTGGACATCTAGTTCAGTGATCCAAATGGGAAGCCTACGAACTTGCAAGTTTATCAATGATGGATCTCATGTAAGGTATGGTCACATTTGTGAAATGACCTTCTAACCTGATTGATAATGGCTCATGATAACCCTCACCCCAAATCTCTTCAATTTTTTTGAGATAACTATTAGGAGATGACAACCCATAACCCGGTTCTTCAATCGTATTATATTCATTCAAGAACAAATCAACATTTCCATCAAGAACATTAGCTATCGAGTAAAATTTCGAAGAAGAACCCATCCCTCCTAACTTCCTTTCAAGAAAATCAAAATGCATGTTTTAATTCATAACATCCCATGCAATTACTTGACCCGAGTATCGGCCCATGACTGACTTTATCCTCTTGGTGGTTGCATCCGTGAGTTGTTGTGGTTCAAGATTTGGAACCCAACTCGGTTGATACTTGGGGTCATCCCAAAATACGTTTTGGCCTCTCACTGAAATTCCATTTGATTTTGTGAAGTCAAGTAATGCATCGGATGATGAGTAGTCTTCTTGGTTTTGGACACGTTCGTTGGTGTACCATTTCATTTTGTTTTCGAATGTTGTGTACTTGAATCTTGATGTGAACCAGTTTTTTATAAGCTTGGTTGGTTAGGATGTTTGTATTAATGGCACATCCGAATGGGAAGTTTGCTAACTTTTGTGAAATGGTTAGTGTTTGATTTACTAGCGGTTTGCCTTCGCTATTGACTGCATGGATTTTCACGTTACTATTCCTCACCTAATTATTGGCAATGAAATTTATACAAAAAAAAAAAAAAAATACAAAATACCTAGTGCCATTAATGTTATTTTCAAAGATTTAGGAAAAAGCCAATTCATATTGTGATGAACTGATGATGGAATATCAAAGCTAAAAACGAGGATAGGATTATAATAGGAGTTTTAACTTTAACCATCAATTTCACTATTGGACTCTAAATAGGTTGAAAAATCGCTATGGGCTCTATACAATTAGATAAATGGGCTACCAAATGGACCATGAGTGTTTCCCATATATAAGCAGTATTTTTTTTTTTTTTTTTTTTTTTCATTTTTTCATTTTTACACCATTTAAAAAAAAAAAAAATCTTCTCAAAGCTTCAAAATAATTGCATTTTATACTATTTAAAACTTTCTTTTTTTATGAAAATGGTTAGATTTCTACCACAAAAAAAATATTTTCGCACACCAAAAATCTCTACGAATTTGTCTTTTTTTCCTTTATGTTTTTTTGTCATTTTAGTAGGTCAAATATATATATATATATATATATATATATATATATATATATATATATATATATATATATATATATATATATATATACACACACACACTATCACTGTGGAAATGGTTTTTAAAGATTTCTACCACAAAAAACATCATTTTTTGAATTTTCTTAGATCAAACCAACAATTATTTTTCTATGAAATTGGTGGTTATTTCCCAAAAAACCCTTGATATTTTCTTAATTCTTGATAAGCTTTGATGGTTATTTTCCAAAAACATTTTTTCTTAGATGTTGATAAATGCTTATCGGGTCGTTAGTTGTTTTTATCTATTTCTCTAAACTTAAGTCAAACAAGAACATTAGTATTTAAAAAAAGATGATGCTTTTGGTTTTCACCTTCTAGATACTCTGATACCGGTGAGTTTTCCACTCTTCTTGTAAAGGATTGTAAAGAAACACTATCAACCCAGATATCAATCGACACATTTTTGCTCTGTGAAAATAATAAACATATATAAATTAAATGTCACCGATAAAAAATCACAATAACTTATTCACAAGTTCATCATACGTGAAAATACAGTTGAGTCGAGCCATATTGGTTGACTATGATGCCACCTTAAAGCATGGACCAACACTCAGATTTAGCCATGGTCGAACCGGCATCATAAAAGCCTGTTGGTGTTCTAAATGTTGCAACCACTGTAGCATCATCTCCATGGCTTATTTGCACCCATGCTGCACATTTCAAATTCGACCAATTCAACACCACATGCAAACTATTAACATTTCTTGTAGAAATCAAACATCCTACCAGAAAACGTGTAGAGTTTGTCATGATCCATGAAAAATTCTTGAGAAGCAGTGTCAAATGATTGATTAATTTGATGAGCAACAATGAATTCATTTCCAAATTCTGATCTTCACACTAGTAGTTTTCCAAAATAAGCCCAACCCTTTGAACCTTCTTTAAATTCCGGATTCACCACTATTCCACCATTGTATTGAGGAGCACTGTCAAAAGATCAAGAATTACATACATTGTTGTTTCTGGTTTCTTGTATCTAAAGATAAAGATTTTATTGAAAGTTTTACCTCATTAGTAAAACTATAATCATATGGTTTTGCATTTGCTACCAATCCCGCGCAACAAATTAACCCATTTAACAACATATAGACTACAAGTATATATATATATATATATATATATATATATATATAAAGACTGCTAAAAAATAAAAACAATGTTATAAAAAGTTAAATTAACTATTAATAAAGATAAATAATTAAACAAAAAACATATTTATAGTTATATTCTCATGGCTATGGTGTGAGTGATACGAAGCTACGGGAAAAATCAGATCTTTAACTTTATTACTAGCACCAGTGATGTTCACATCCCACTCTTCAATTGGTTAAGAATTAGAGCTAGAAATGGTGTTAATCTCAATTGGCAAAAATGGTGTACTAACTAGAAAAGAGAGGTATCAACTACATGTAACTCTAGCTTGTTGCTAGCCTTTTTATAATGTGTTAGGTGAGATTTTTATATTTCAATATATCAACATGCGTACAGAGGGATGGTTTTTATAGCCAAAGCTACAACAAGGAAATCATTGATTTAGGAGCTAATCAAGGAACTATTCTAGGTAAATATTACAACATAATAATCTAATTAAATACAGTTTACTCAATACGCCCCCGCAAGATGGAGGATCCATCGAAGACTCCATTCTTGGACCGAAGTTGTAGAAACATGTTGCATCCTAGTGGCTTAGTTAGAGCATGTGCCAATTGAACAGTGGATTTGATATGTAGAACACGCAAGGACCCATCAACAACTTTTTCATGAACAAAGTGATAGTCCAAGGCCACATGTTTCATTCGGGAATGGTATAACGGATTAGCACAAAGATAGGTGGCACCTGTGTTGTCACAGTATAAGGTGGGTGACTTAGTACTAACAGCACCAAGCTCAGTTATATATTTTGAACCCATGAGATTTCAGATGTAGCGTTGGCTAGAGCTTTGTATTCCGCTTATGTAGATGATCGAGAGACAGATTTCTAGCGAGCAGAACGCCAAGAAATTATGTTGGAGCCAAGATATAAGATATATGCCGTAGTGGAACGGCCACCAATGGTGACTCCTCCCCAATCTGAGTCTGAAAAGGCCTTAATATCAAGAGAGGAGCCCCGCTTTAAGAATAAGCCATGATGAATTGTTCCTTTGAGATACCGAAGAACCCTTTTGAGAGACTGCCAATGGGTTTGGGTAGGTTGATGCATAAATTGAGAGAGCTTATTCACAGTGAATGAAACATCTAGTCGGGTGAATGCAAGATACTGTAGCGAGCCTACCAACTTTCGATTAGGTGTTGGATCCACATATGGAGACTTGTCCATGGAGGTGAGAACAACTGAGGAGCTTAAAGGAGTTGCTACTTCCTTTGTGCCATCTATATGGAAGTGGGTTAAAAGGTCTTGAATATGACGATGTTGGGAAAGGAAAAGACCTGTTGTAGTGTGAATAACTTCAATACCAAGGAAATGATGTAAGGATCCAAGGTCTTTGATAGAGAAATTTTTGGCTAAGGTTTGAACGAAAGTATCCATAAAGGATGAGTTGTTTCCAGTGAGGACAATATCATCAACATAGACCATGAAAAGACAGATAACACCATTGTTATTGTAGATAAAAAGGGAAGCATAAGCTCTAGACTTGCAAAAACCAAATGTTAAAAGAAATTTGGTTAACTCCATGTATCAGGCCCGAGGGGCTTGTTTTAGGCCATATAGAGATTTATGGAGTTTGCAGATGTGATTGGGAAATTGAGGATGGATAAACCCCTGTGGCTGAGTCATGTAAACTTCTTCATGTAGGGTTCCATGAAGAAATGCACTGTTTACATCCAACCGTCGGAGTGGCTAATTATTGGTAAGGGCAATGGAAAGAACAATGCGAATAGTAATAGGTTTGGCTACAGGACTAAAGGTGTCAAAGTAGTCCTTACCATATTGTTGTAGAAAACCTTTGGCTACTAGACGTGCTTTGTATTTTTCAACTATACCATTATGGTATCGTTTAATTCGAAAGACCCATTTACAACCAATGGGAGTGTGAGAGGAGCGAGGCAAAAGTTCCCAAGTACCACTGTGCATGAGAGCGTTAAACTCATGGTCCATAGCTTCATGCCAGTTGGGATCTTTCAAGGCTTGGGTATAAGTATGAGGCTCAAGGGTAGGAGGAATGGGATGTAGAGTAGATGAGTTTATGAATGAGGGATTGTAATACTTAGAGTTAGGTTTTCGAGTACGAGTTGATGTAGTGGTATTTCGTACGAGCTAAGGAGTGGGTTGTTGTGGAGGTGAGGTTGGCGGTGGTGAATCAGTTTAGAAGAGGGGTGTAACATCCGGATTCCCCGGTATATTATTTTATTAATTTATTTTGGAGTTTGTGGATGGACTCGGCGAGTTGGTGCTTAGACTCGCCGAGTAGGGTCGCGGATTCTCATCCGGGTTCATGAATGGACTCGGCGAGTCCATGCTGTTTAATGAAACCATAATTTCCTAGCTTTGGGACCTATTTAAAGTCCCTTAGGGCCGTCATTTGCGACTACCAAACCCCAGAGAGAAACCCTAAAAGAGCTAGAGCGATTGTGAGAGGAAAAGAGCCATTTCTTGATCTTTGTGGTTGATTCTTGCAAAGAAGGAGGTGTTTCTAGCTTAGAGGAGACCAAGGAGGTGGTGCATCTGTGGATTTCGAGCTAAAGACTTCATCTTTGAGGTACTATATCGCCCCTTTATCTGTTGTGTTGAAGGAATCCATAGATGTAGAGTTTTCATGTCCTTTAATGGAAGAAATTGTGAGAACATGACCCTTATTCACTTTGAGATTTCGGATCTGGACCCATAGTGGTCTAAAGAGCTTATCTCATCTTGCTTTATGTTGAGCTATAGACTTGTTGAGCTTAGGATGTTATTTTTGGGGCTAAATCACCAAGTGAAACCTCCTAGACGTCCCATGAGTGTCAAGATTCGAGCTTTACATGTTTATCAGGCTTGGGAACGTCAGATCTATGGATCAAAGGAACAGATCTGACCTCAGGAGGTCAATTGAGTTTGTGCATGGCATGAACTCGCCGTGTCCAAGGACAGACTCGGCGAGTAGGGTTAGGGTTTCCCGTAAATCACTCAGTGAGTCAGAGAGGGATTAGAGGACTGGAGTTCAAGGCGGAACTCGCCGAGTTAATCTTGAGACTCGACGAGTTGAGTCAGGGTGGCCCCGTGATTCATGCCAGGTGTGACTCGTCGAG